TGATAGTCTCCCTTCAGAAGGTAATTTTTTCTTAAATTGTTAATTGTCAAATTAACTTTACGAGTGTGTTTTCTGATCCCTGGAACACTGCACAACTTATCTTATCCAAAGTTGAGATTTGTTGGGTGGATGTAGATATTGTTGGTGGGCAATCTTTCAATCACACATTTGGTAAACACAGGATCTTTTTACTGTCAAATAGTTTTTTATATGGTTTTGAAGGAGATTCTAGACCATTGTGAGTTGTTGGCGTAACTATTGAACCACCTCATCTAAGGCCTAAGTTATTAGAGATGGAACATATTTAAATGTACTCTTCATCACACCCCTCACGTGCACTCTCCAATTAGATTTTTTTGTTATGTAATTTTAAAAGATGTTGCACAATTTTCATAAGTGGGGGAGAATTGAATTTAGGACCTTTGCGTGATCTCCTAACCGAAATATTTCTGTTCACAGAAATCTGGAAATTACCATGTTTTGACATGGAAATCCCAGAAACTTATTTGGATATGTGGAAGAATAGATACGATGCGTACCGTGTTGAAATGGCCAAGGCCTTGAGTTCTGGAGATAAATTGAAAAATGAACTAGCAGATGCAGTGATCAAAAAGTACAAGCAGGTAACCTATTCTTCTTGATATAAAGAAACAAAAATTAGTTCACAATTTTAATTTTGAGTACAAAGTGGATTTGATAATCTTGTTAGTGCCTTTTGCCATTGGCTTATTTCCCGTTCTTCAGTATGCTTGATTTTATGACGATGTTAAAAAGCTCAAATGAATGCAGTTGTTGTATGATGCCCCGGAAATGGAAGAAAGTAAGAAGAACACGGAAGACATTTACAAGGAGGCCCTGGCTATCTATCACCTTACTTACGAATTTGCAAAAAGTCGGGATGACATTGGAAAATGCAAATTTGCATGGAGTGTGGCAGGGACTGCTCTGTGTGAAGTATATGCCTGGGGTTCAGCCGGTTCAAAAGAGAGGCCATTCATTGTTTTACCTTCTGTTATGCGCGAGATCTTAAATTAAAGAGTCTTAGTATAGAGCAAGACGACTAGTTTACTCGTTCTGTGTGTAACATAACAGCAATGTTTATGCAACAAGTAGCATATGCACAGGCAAAATATCGAGTCATGTATATATAATATCTCAAATGTAAGCATCTCCTGAGTACATTTAGCAAACATATGGATTTATCTTCTACTAGAAGTTGATGTTTGTAAAAAGACTATGGAAATATATATTGATCTTAAGAGTAACTTGACTTCTTGTTTTTTCTCCTTTTAATCTAATCGCTATCTTTCATCTTTTCTTAAGGATGACAATGAGGCTGGACAGGGTTGGGCGAGAAGACATCCCTTCCCATCCCGTGCTCTGCTGAGCACTTCAGGAGGCGGGTTAGAGATTAATATCTTATTTCTTGCTCTTTATTTATTGTTTTATATTTATATTTTTAAATACGATTAAAAAATAATAGTTGGTGGGATCATTTTTTCCGTTCCTCAACAGTCCAATGCCTTGGTCCTACGTTCAGTTAACGGCTTTGCAATTTACTAACTTATAATCTATTGCATGAAAATAATTTCTTTTAGGGTATAAACAAATACCACTAGTTATTAAACTCAATAAAATAAACACGAACAAGTCATAAGAGAAGTTTTCTTAAGCTTAATAATTGAAAATGTAGAATTATTGGAATTTTTAATGTCGAATATTTTTAATTGATGAACTAATTAGAATTATTAGGACTAATATTTAATTATTGAAGTGTCCCATGTAGCAATTCTCTGTAAACGTCGGCAATCTGTTACCCTTTTTGTACGAGTAGTGATATTCATTATTGAATAAAGTTAATGCATTGACTAATGAATAAAGGGCACAACATCAATATAATAGCGACAATTATCCTTTCATTTGATGACGAATTTCTTGCTATCCAGGTTCCGACGGGAGGGAGCCAGATGACGAAGACTATCGAAAGGCTGTGAAAGATTTCTCTAAATGTTTTAATTGTTGCCCATTTTTTAATCGATTACCTTTTTCCATCATTTATGGACTTTCTCCAGTTTGTATGTGGTATATGACCCCAAAAAAGTAATCGTGGCGTGATTTATTATCACTTAAATCGACGCTGGTGATGTAATAAATTTGTAAAATGAGTATTTTTTTTTAAAATGATTTTTGGAATAATGATTTTTTTGGAGAATGTATAGTTAAAAAGTATTAAAAATATATAAAATAATTTATTTGGGAGAATATGTAATTAAAAAATAAATTTAATAAAAAAAATTGTTTTAATGATTGTCAGAGGATAAGATTGAAGCAGTTTGATCCATTTAGATGTTGTCGGATATGATCACTAACAAAGTTGATATTGACGTAAAGAAAAATGAATTATTGCATTGCAGAATTATTTATATTTACGCATTAAACATTGTCCTCACGAGTATCTTTGTACATATGCAAGCGCTGAATTCAGCCACATATAGCCATTTACCTGTTAGCCTCCGTCCAGCTTATAAAGATAATTCATATACATATGCCCTCGGATATAATTTAATGGTGCAAAGAATTGGAAT